ACTCAAAATCCTGGCTACGGCATGCACACGACAGGAACACAACTCACTCGACGAGTCATCGACCTCTAGATGACATGTACAGGTCAGACGGTACAAGTTATGTAATCGAGATCGGCCCAAAGTGATTTTAAAGGGCACTATTAAACATTTTCACAACAAAAATTGAAATATTTCAATTGAGAAAAACCTTTGTGTGATTTTTATTTCCTTCCACTTTTCAGCATATATTTGTGCAATGATTTTATTGATTACATTTCTGACATTTATGATTGGCGCTAAAACGGTCCACACGAGGTGCATTCAGTATGTGGTACCACCACAAACCATGCACCAGAATGAAAACAAACATGGAATATGCACATATGCAATGGAGGAGGGTTGATTCAACTGTACTTTATTTAAAAAATGACCAGAAAATTTATTTTTGTTTCGTCCTAATGTTATACAATGGAGCTTTAAGATTTTCTTACCTTCCAGCTACCAAAAAAAAAAAAAATACAATCGAAGGTCGTCGCCTGTGTGGCGCTAGCTTTACTCAGAAACATGAGCTGTTGGGAGCTAAGTTACATTATCATATCAAACAGACAACGCTTATGTTACGGGCCGGTTTATAACTTTAATCTTCTGATACCGGCAACGAGACAATAATATGGCGAATACATGCAGGGAAGCTGATTACTTTTGGGTCTGAAATCAAATGTTGAAACAGAAATATGCAGTAAAATACACGGGGGCGATCACGACCCATGTTCCTATCATCAAAAAACAGAAAAACCAAACAGTCCTCGCCTCTCAGAAGGCTTATTGTGAGGACCTCATCCTACCGACCGCTTCAACCCTGCCACTGATAGACCACAAAGCAGTGTACTGACGGAAGCTGTAAGTCTAGATTATTGGCTCTATAAAATGTAATCTGCATGTGGCTTGCTGATATAGGAGACAGGGGAAAATGCCTGCAACATACATGTAGATGGGCTCCTGATACCAGAAGATACCGAGACGGGGGATTGGCTACTCGTGTGTACGACCTTGCTGCCATTCAACGTCGCTGACCAGAAAGTTCTGCAGACCAGAAGGCAAAAATTTACGACACTTTTTTCTCAACATTGAGAGAAACATTAGAAACGCAAAGCCGTGCGTTTCTGTGGGAGTGGCTGTCGTGGTTGCAGATTTTCACACTGTTATTTTTTTATTTATATTCCAACATTTCATGACTAGACGTTGTGATAGCACACCAAGTTACGATATCAACTTAGTTTATGCCGCCACCAACGCAGAGGACGAATACAGGACAAGACAATACTCATTTTCACTTGAGTTAAGTGAAGAAAGTCGTGTAAAGTGCTTTTTCCCAAGGGCACAAGATCGGTGACAAGTCAGGACTCGAACCCGGGACCCCTTGGTTCCGAGTCGAGCCTGAACGCCACACGACCCCACATGATTTTCACACTGTTGGAGATGGAAGTCACATCTGAAATGAAGGCCTGGATGTGGTGAGCCTGAAGCTTCCTTCTTTTGATAGCGGCGCAAATCAGCGACATCAGCCGACATGATTCTCGCCGTTTCCCTTGTACTTTTATCCACCCTAACCAACGTCCACGCCGCCAAGACGTGTTGGCCGTACGGTAACTGCGCGAATCAGTCGCCAAAGTTGAAGACCATACCGGACAACGTGCCTTCGTTTCGCACACTAGGAGTGCTCCTGCTACAATTTAACGACATCGAAGAGCTGAAATATATACCACAAATGCCGGCACTGACTCATTTGGATCTGTCCCACAATCGTTTGTCAGAATTCCCGTGGTTGTCGTTTCGCAATATCTCACGGATCAAGATTTTGATACTGAAGAACAACGAAGTTTCAAAGGTTGACGCCTACGTGGACTTCCCTCAGAACTTGACCTATCTTGATCTTGAAGGTAACCGCATCGCCACGATTCCCGAAACTTTTCTAAACGGACTGAAGCCGCAGCGGTGGAACTTCTTTCTGTGTATATCGCAGAATCCTTTCCTCTGTGACTGTAAGATCCAGTGGATCGCACGTTTTCGGCGATGTGTGTGGGAACACCGACACGAAGGCTGTGTGGACGCTCCTCTCGCTCGGGTGAGGAGGTGCATGTTGGCCAACTGCAAGTCCAACCCGAGCGGCGTCCCGGTCATCCTGGACTGGTTTCAATGGGATACTAAGCTCGTTGTTCAACAACTGACACTTAGATGTGAATCACCGCAAGAACTGAGAGGGAAGACCCTACGAAACGTCACTCTACCGACGTGTAGTGCATCTCCAAAACATTCGAGAAATCCAGAAAAAGCTTCGTCTCCGGTTAGGATGGGGATTCATGAATACCAGAAGGCATCAGTGGAGACAGTGCCTTCAACACTAGCTACCAACAGCAGGGAGAGAACCACTGTCAGCACTTCTGAATTTTCTCCTTTTTGGAAAGGTGAGTCTATTTAAGTACTTCTGGATGCGGATTTGATTTGATTTATTGAAATTGTAACAATACAATACACGTCTGACAAAGGCAGCTGTTGCTGTTGTTGTGGTCCACACATACATGACAGACATTACTCATTTTCACTTGAGTTAAGTGATGAAGTAAGTCGTGTTAAGTGCCTTTCCTAGGGGCACAAGATCGGTGGCATGTCAGGACTCGAACACGGAACCTCTTGGTTTCGAGTCGAGCACTATGTCCTTACGCCACACGACCACACCAATTATTTCTGACAAGAAAAGCTATTTGTCACCAAAAAGTCAAGACCATAGCATGTTCAGGACAAAAGATACATAAACCGGAATTTCTGCTGCAGTACCAAGGTCACCCACCAAAAGGCCCACATTTGACCTTGACCTTTGTCTTCCGAAGACTTACCAGCATACCAAATATCATCACAATCTATAAGGACGTTATGAAGTTAGGCTGACTACAAATGCGGAAACACACACACACACACACACACGCACGCACACACACACACACACGAACACAGACAGACAGACAGACACACACACACACACACACACTAACACACACACACACCAAAAACAAGAATTCGGAGATCTCATAACTCCATGAAATATATGAGTCTTTATCTTCCTAAGACTTACCAGCATACCAAATATCATTACAATCCATAAAGGCGTTCTGAAGTTATGATGGCTACAAATGTGTGGAAACAAACAGACAGACACACAGACAGGCACAAACACACACAGACACGCCAAAAACAATACCTCCATTTTTCATGGAGGTAATAATACCTCCATTTTTCATGCAGGTAATAACCAACACAATCATACTAAGTCTACTGTGTTTCTGTTGTTCTGTAGGAATCACAGCCAGCATCCTCGGCGGTGTCCTGATCACCTTGTTAGTCGCCTTCCTCATCAGATGTGTCAGTCGGTGCAACAAGCGGCGACAGGCCGGCCTCAATAGCATGGCGGCCGCCCCGCCCGTGCCAGCAGTGACCGAGAAGCGTCAAACTACACCAGGCGCTGACCAGAGCAATCCTACCGTTGACGGGCGTCTCGAGGAAGGTCGCTCAAGAAACAACGAAGATACAAGCCGTCTTTCATTTGGCATTCGGCGCAAACGTAAACAGACTGCCCGTAAATACACGGCCGCAGCCCTGCCGCTTCAGACGGTTCAGAACATGCGGGCCTCGATCGTCGTCAGCGTGGACAGGAGCAACTCCGTTCTCGGGAATCTGCAGCGAGACCCGTCGCAGAAGAAGAAGAAGAAAGGCCCGGGCCGCTTCTCACTCGACATTCGGCGCAAACGTAAAGAAAAGGCCGTGCCGAAGAACGTGCTCGCTGCCTTCCCGTTGCAAACGCTGACCAACATGCACGTCGCGAACATCTGTAGTGTCGCTC